GAAGCAGCAGGCTCGACTGGTCCAATAACATCCATTCCCCAAGCGACGAACGGCCACAGTGAGCTTGTTGTGTTGAGCTCGCTCGGAGATACCTTTATCATGTCTGCATGGGAACTTTTGTACACATGTTTCAAATGACATAACAAAGCTATTTCAATTCCAGAAATCACAATCCAAACCCAATATCATCAAAGTCAACTCCGGTCAAACTTATAAATATTTCAAATCTTCAAATTGCCAACTTTCGCCATTGTGCCAAAATCTACTAGAAATATCAAAATGAAAATATGGGCATACGCCCAAGTCAAAAATCACCATCCAGACCTAACTAAACCATCACAACTCCGATTTGAAATCAAATATAAAAAGTTAAACTTGGTCAACTCTTCTTACTTAAAGCTTCCTAGTTGAGAATGATTCTTCCAAATCAATTCCGAATCACCTGAAAACCAAAACCGGCGATTCACAAAAGTCATAATACATCATATAAAGCTATTTAAGACTTCAAATAGTTGAACAGAATGCAAATGCTCAAACGACAGGCTGGGTCATTACAATCAGCTATATTCCACACAAGTTGAAATCAAAAGTAAGTCGTTGGAATATCTTAAAGACTGCGGTCACTATATATGCCTCATGACATATGCACTCGGTTCCATAAAAAAAATTTATTCATTGAAGAATGTTAGTAGCATAACTATTAGAGAAATAATGTATATAGGAGGCTTATTCCCATATTAAGATATGAGTAGTATGAATAGTGTAGAATATAGATATAAATAGGGCTCCTCCTAATATAGTAAAACAACATATATCAATGATAATCTATCGTGCCTTTACTTCTCACATGATATCAGAGCAGACTTAGTCCACATTGGTATATAAGTATATACTGCATAGACTATAAATATAAATAAGACTCCTTGTAATATAGTAAAGAAATGCATGTCAATGATAATTTCTCGTGCCTTTAATTCTTTTAATAACATTGTCATTTAAAGGCAAAGGATGTTCTTAGCAAAGGATATTTGCTTTGACTAAATCTTTCATTGCCAAAATAAGATAATTTGGTCAGGAAAATTGAAGTTAGACATATCATAATGTTAGATTAACATTAGTTAGCTAGTCTTTTATATATATATATATATATATATATCACTTAGGTGTTAAAACGACGTAATTTTGAATAAAGTGTAAGAGTTGCATAAAGAATAAGTACTCTTAGGTTGAATAACAAGAACTTTCATTGGAGTAAAGAAATATGTTATAACATGCTAAATCTGTTAACCTAGGCACAATTCCAGTCCAACAGCCCAATGAGATGACCCGATAATTATATTAGTTTGCGTACAGTGTTGTATCATAGTTGTATTCATTTTTTAGTTCATATAATTTTTTCTAGGTTTGAAATTTGTTTTAGTAGTATATAAGGAATTGTAAATTTCAGATACGCGTGCGAGATTTATTTTTTTCTCACAGATGAAATAAAATATCTGCTCTCTTTTCTTCTTCATGTCGATCTAAGGTTTTCATCTTCAATTTTTATTTTCGCATCTTCTGTTCTTCATGCGAACATGGTACCATAGCTCTGCTAAAAAGGGTAACAAGGTGAATCTACGATATGTTGGGGAACTCTCAAGTACTAATCCTTATCTTGTTCTTGGCAGAGAGAGTGACTAACATATTTTTACGCCAAAGAACAAAATCAGTTCCATCGAAAGAATCAGATATCGAACATGTCCCTGGGCTGCTTGCTCCATTTCTCGCAAATATGTGACTAGTTATTTTCTCTTTCTTGGTAGCTGTCATGTTTCCAAGTAAGAAACAACTCACAATATCTTTATCTTTTGTTGAACCAGAGTACCGGGCCCTTAGGCAAGTCATTGTTGAGGTTTTTTGGCTGTGTAGTTTACTTGGTGATATGAATTTATTTTTTACCGGTCCAATTCCAACTTTTGTAGCAGCCACCTTCATTACATGTTCCTAAAAACCTAGTTTTCATGATCGTACGAAACACATCGAGATAGATTGTGATTATATCCGTGATTGCTTGACTTCCAGTTTGATTTCTCTCTATTTTGTTTGAAGTTTAGATAAACACTGGTAGAAATTTTAACCAAGCCTTTGTCTGAAGCTCCTCATCATCACATTTTGGGCAAGCTTGGTACATTTTTGCCCTTCAACTTGAGAAGGGGTGTTAATCAAAGCTCATTTTCAATCCAGCATCCCAATAAGATGAGCCGATAGTTGTATTAGTTTGCGTATAGTGTTGTATCATAGTTGTAACCATTTTTTAGTTCATGTAATTTTTTCTAGTTTTGCAACTTGTGTTAGTAGTATATAAGAAATTGTAACTTTCAGATACATGTGCGAGATTCATTTCTTTCTCTCAAAATAAATAAAATATCTACTCTCTCTTCTTCTTCTTCTTCTTCTTCTTCTTCATGTCGATTGAGGGTTTTCATCTTCAATTTTTGCTTCAGCATCTTCGATTCGTCATGCGAACAAAATCTCACTATGGTAATAAAGTCAATTACGTTGTCAGTGTATATATCTTAAAGCTTACACTACTACAAAAAAGCCAACTTTCGATCGTCAAATCAGTCGAAAATCGTATTTTCCCTACGGATTTCTGACTGAAAAAGGTCGGTCAGAAAATACGTGGTCGCAAAATATTTGCGACCGAATCAGTCGAAATTTCCGACGGATTTGGTTGCAAACTGAAAAATAAAGGCACGTTTGAATTTAAGTTATTTGCAACCAAATTGGTCGGTATATTTGCGATTAATTCGGTCGCTAATCAAAATAAATACAAATTAAATATTTGGACCGATTTCGTCGCAAATTAGGGTAATTTCTGGTGAAATTTGCGACTGATTCAGTCACAAATCTGGAAAATTTTTAGCGTAATTCTGCTATATTTTTAATTACACCACCTGCCAAATAAAACAACCAACCAAACACCTAACAACCAAACAAATACCTAGTATAACAATCCAAATCCAATATATACTACAAAATGAACAATAATATATATAACAATCTAACCAACTAATCAAACAACATAAATTAAACATGTCTCTAACTTCAGTTCTAAGACGTTCAAATAATTAATCCTGGCCAGACTCAATCTCCTCCTCAGACTCAGACTCAGACTCCATTACAGCTTGACTGCCTTTCTTGTTTTTCTTTTTAATAATTTTTGGATCAAAGCCTGAGTTGCTTGAAATTCTTGCGACATTTGATCCACTTTTTGATGCATAGCTTCTGTGTCTTCTTGGAAAACTGATGCACCAGTGAATAATGTTGCTGGTGGATGATTGGAGGATGGTTGTACTCCAATCTCGTAGACTCGACCTTTATTTATTTTCACGAGAAATAAAGAAAAGAAAGTAAAAGGAGTAAGAAAACGAACACGCAACTTTCAAACTAATACCAAAATAGATAATTACATAATGTCTATACCTTTATTCACGCCACCGGCCACCTATGTCCAAATTGCAGTCATATCCTCCGGAGTCGGCTGAGTTTGTCGTCATGCATCAAGATCAATATGATACTTGTCATGAAATAAAAATAATACACGTTTATATAAAATAATTTAACACACTTACATTTCACACAAGGGCTCTTAATAATTCCTTCAGTACGAAAATCATCAAGTGTAACCCCTTCTTTAAATTCATCCTTAATCTCACATGATTAGGATGATTCCTATTATACATCCATCTACGATGCGCAAATGCCATCTAAAGAAACAAACAAAACTAGAAGTTGACATATTTATTTATTTATACTAGTTACTAAGTTATATTCTCCCAAAAGGATATCTAAATAGTTTAATTATATATTTTACTATAATACTTGGGTGGTTTCAATATTAATAGGTACATTAAACTAGCTATTGTAAGACAAAAGAAGTCCTAAAACAAAATCACACTATGATAATAAAGTCAATTACGATGTCAATGTATATGACTTAAATTTTAATTATTTATGTATAAATAAGATTTCATTATTCAAAGAGTGGACATACTCCAATCATCAAACAAAATCAATCAATCTTCTTTCCAATATCATTTCATATACAAAATTTCCTTGCCACTTTAATTTACAACTTTCCTCACAGCTTTTTCCTAGATGTCTGCTTATATTAATGTTAGTTATATCAGTTAAGACTTACGTCAATTCCTCAATAATGTTACGATTTTTATGTGATGGAAAAAAATGTAAGGGACATTATATGTTGACTAATAAAACATGGATTGTTAATAGAGATTGCCTACTATAAGAATATTGAGTTTAAATACTACTATGTTCCTAATGCAGATATTCTTTATTTCATATTTCATCTCAAATAAAAGAATGCATAGATTCCAGTTAAGTTGTCTCCATATTAGTAATGCAGAATCTCAACAAAAAATCAAACTCCATATAGTTATGCAAAACTTTATGCTACTAGATGCTTAGACGTCGTATCGGTATCAGAGAAACGCACAGTCCCTTAGAAGCTTTTAACTCTTTTTTTTTTTTTTTTTTTTAAC